TCGATAAAGATAATATTAAATAAATAAATGCATGTCGATTTAATACATGAAATCCCTTCCAATACACATACGTGAAACGAGAGCAAATGCCATGGAAGAAGCGATTGTCAATTTCATGGTGAATAACGAAATCCATTTAAGCTTACGGAATTAGTTCAAAACTTATTGTATCTGCATATTCAAACACGTTTACATGAGAGATGTCTCCATTCATATGTAAAGAATAACATAATAAGCAGAGCTGGGTGAGATAACAACAGCAACAACATTTCCTATTCATCCGTACCATATATGGTGGTGGGTTTCTTGTAGTAAAACGTGTAATCTTCAATAAACAATTCTCTTTATTCTTACCTTTATGCTTCGACACGATCAATTTTGGACCAATTCTATTTGTATTGCATCGACAATATATTTTTTATTGCTAATTGCGGTATCGTAATTCAAAATCACGGTTCATTGACTTGTGATTGCTTTCCTAGAAGGAATAATCTGGCGCCAGTGCACAAAAACAGAATTCTTTTGATTATAAAGAAATTTATTTGTTTTGAAAGTGGTGATGAGATGAGGAAATTTTTTTCAATTTATGAGACACACTTAATTGTTCACCAACCACATTTTAAACAGCATATATTATTTTCTACTAGCGAGGCCGAAAATTTAAGTACAGTCAAGCTTCTTTTTTATCTCCGGGTAGTCTTTATTCCTATTCATACTCGTATCCTATGATCAATTTATAATAAAGTTTTGCTATATTTTTAAATAAAGTTCGACTAAGACCTAAACGATCATAATAACTCAAAATAATATATTTATAAATTCCTCTTTAAAAATTACATGATTATAATACTCCACCCCGATCGGCATACATTGAAATTCATTGAAAGCCACTAGGAAATGGCTTCAGAACTCGAATTTCTTTGCTTGAGAACAATGCAAGATATCATGACCATACAGATACTGAAATATATTTCAAAGCTCCTTTCTTTCGATTGGAAAAACTACACGGAACGCACAAGAAATTCACATCTTAGATAAGCAAATCGACAAAAGCTTTTATTTTCAAGTTATATCTCAACAAGAAGTAACATATATAATCAATTCTTTGGATATTGGTAAAGCTACATGATATGACAGAATCTCGCCTTTTTTTGGACTCAAATAAGTGAAGAATGTTCTGAACATGTCTTTGATTAATAAAATGTTTGAGATGAATACCCTGAACAACTTAAAGTTACGACTGTCCACCCAATTCATAAAAAGGACTCACCGCTAAATAAGAATAATTATCGACCTGTTTCCATCACTTATACGCTGGAGAAAGTTGTTGAGACAGTTATCCAAAATCTGCTAATCGAGTACCTGGAAGAAGAAAATTTTTTAGATAACTTTCAGTATGGCTTTTAAAAGAATAGATCATGTGAAACCGTTATTGCGAAAGTAATCTCATTAACATCAAAAATTGTCGACGAGAAAAAATCAGCTATCATTTTGTCACTTGATATAAGCAAGGCTTTTGACATGATCGACCATCAAATTTTGCTTAGAAAGCTTTGTCACTATGTCATCAAAGATGATGCAAATGAGTTGATAAAAAGTTTCTGAACGAACAGGTCAATTCTCAATATGACAAAGAATTAACGTATCATATTCCTTAAAATATTTGGGAATTCAAATAGACCCAAAACTGACTTTTGAAGACTTCTCGGAAAACTCACCTTGAAACCGTTAATAGACTTTTATTTTGCACATTTTCACTCGCATTTATCATATGAAATATTCTTGTTGATAAGATCTAGTTCGAAGTCACTAAAAACACCTGCAAATTTTACAAAACCGCATGATTAAGCTACCCTCATCAACGTCAACTCACAAATTATACACTGATTATGTGTGTGATAGTGAAGAAATAAATGCTGGAAGGTGATGAGGGGTTCCTTAAAAGGTGGAAAGACTGTTAAACTATCCACCCGGCTGCCGGGTGGCAAAAATTTCAATGTGTGCCGATTGGGCACAATTAACGAAAATACTTGAAAAATTTTTTAAAATCACCAAATTAAAATTTTATTTCGATCCAAAAATGGTTAAGTCTTGCAAAAGTCATAAATTCATACAACAGAAATTTACAATGTAAGACTTACAATACATTTTTATTATTTATTCTAAATTTCATCCAAGTTTTATCACAATTTGTGATCGTTGTATCATTATTTCTCGATTTTCTTTTTAGGTAAAGCCAGTGTAGACATATGTCAATAATATAGTTCACACAAATCAAGATACTTGTATATTTAAAATTCACACACACTTTAACGCCTTTTGTATTTTAAAAATGATTTTCATTGTGTTTTGAATGAAACTTATTAGAATTGGATCTTTATGACCTTCTTATGGGAGAAAAAAAAACAATCTTGCGTAACACTCAATTCTACGTTCATTTAATACCCATTTAAAGCACCTCCTTCTTCTTTAACGTCGGAATCTTAATTTATATGCAAAATATGAGATTAATATTTTTTATTGGACATATTGCTCAATGAATTTTAAACGTCGTCTTTATTGTTATTACGGATATTAGTATGGGCATCCATCATATTAATATAAATTTTCCTTTAAAATATAAGAAGAAAAGTAAGAAATATAAAATATGAAAATTTTTAGAGAAAAAAATTTTATGAATGAATTTTTTTGTGCGTCAAATTAAAATTTGCTTATTTCTGAACATCCCACGCTCATCATCTGGCCTATCATGGAGTCATGAAAAAACTGTGACAAAATAAGGTAGTTAAAAAGACCAGAAATTATTCTGTTACATATTTTAGATTGGTATAAAAAATCATTTAACAAAAACTAATTGAGAACAGAATGTTGCAGACCAAATATTACGTAATTCCAACGCGTGAAAACACAGGATTAATCCTGAAAAATACCAAAAATCCTAAAAAATCTTAAAAGGGATTGAAAAGAGATTTCACATTTTCATTTTTATTGGCTCAGGGATTTTTTAGGATTTTTGGGATTTTTCAGGATTAATCCTGAGTTTCCACGCATTGCGTAATTCTAACAGAAGCCACTCAACGGATTGCTTTTTCATCAGGTATCGTAAATAAACGTCTATTCATAGTCAGTTTTGTATCATTTTACCAAAATATTGAAGCTCTCTGAATACAAAAAAATTGCCAATGGACTTGTATGGCTTCAATTGTATTTGTCCATATGTTACTATTGTACATCGTTTAATCAGATTATTTAACATTTAATAATATTAGATTGGTATGAAAGAATATAAGAGTATGAATGGCTGAAATATTACTTCTACTTTTTCGCTAGAAAATTCGTCAAACGAATAAATTTATTAAAAACTTAAAGAAAATAAGAGAAAATCACGGAAAATGAAAAAGTGCGTGCCGCCACGAATGATTTAATTTTTTTAATTTAAACACAAACAGAAATAAATATTTTTTCACTAGCGCTCCTGATTTATGATGCAAACTGCCAAAACAATTAATTAACTCAACTCGACGACAATAAACAAGCATCTTGTATACATGTATGATATTATAATTAATTAAGTAATTTGAGTCATATGAGATTGTCTCATAAAAAATATAATCCATGTCGTGACTCAGACGTTCAGTGTGAAAAGAAAAGAGTGAAAGAACGAGACTGACAAAAACTTTTTGATCTGCCTTGTCGCGATGCGTTGAAATTTTCTTCTTTTGCTTCTCTGCTATATTTATCAGCTGCGATGTGACTCTAGTTAATATTATTTTATTCTTATTAATATTATTATTGTTATTTGACGACAACTTTTCTTTCGTTGAGTGAAGAACAAAGTGTTGAGAGAATAATCTTAAGCAGTAAAAAAATCATAAATTAACTCGTCGTGGAAGAAGAAGAAGCAGAAATGGAAAGAATAGAAGAGAATAAGTTGTAGGCGTAGATGGCAGTGTCTATTTGTGAAAATAAGGCATTTAAAGATTGTGATTTTTAATAGTAGAAAATATTCTCTTATATCATCATCATTGTCAAATAACGTGCGAAGCCTTTTTAATGTGAAAAAGTCACGTGTTGATTACTCAATTATTGTTGTGCTGAAAAATTTATTGCTTCTAAGTAATGTTGAATTAGATCATTTGAAATGCGATTTTTTTTTTAACTTCATAAATCTTTCGATAACTTAAGCATTTATTTTGTGGATGTTGAACATGAAATTAAAATTTGAAGTTTTTAAATTGCATTAAGTATTTAATGAATTCAAATTCACAAACAATTTAAGTCTTTTGGGTTTTTTTAGTTTTTGGACAAGAGTAAAAAAAATAATCTGAAATCAGTGTCAAGAATCCATCTAATTTATTAAAATCATTATATTCATCAGAAGCCATATTCCACCAGATGTTCGTCAATCGTTAATAATTATTCATCAATCTTTATCATTTTACATGACATCAAACAATATTGCAGACTTCTCGCAAACATAAAACATTCAATTACTTATAATTATCATAAATTAATTGACGTGAATTTTGATGTATCGTTCAAAATAAAAAGAATCGGCTTATAACCATGAATGTCGTATTCTGAAGCGCTTTATCAGTGCTGATTTATTTTTAATGAAATAATGTTTACAGAATTCTGCGATGTAATATCATGATCGATTGGTGTTGAATTTTAATTGATTGATGTGAAACACTTGAATGAATCGTATAGAAATTTCAAAGAAAATTCTATTCTATCCATACATCAATATATTGCGATGAACGAAAATACTTTAAACCCTTACTATATCCATGAAGAATAAGCTGTTGAAAAACTCACAGCTGAAAAATATTATTATTTTTGTGTATATAAATCAAAATAAATTATACAAATGCATTAAAAAACATCAAGTTTAAGTAAAGCTTTTGATAAAAAAGCAATTTGAGCATTGCAAATCTCTTATGTTTATTTTTTTATATGTGCTGCTAAATTAATATGTTCCCATTTTTAATTGCCATTAGAATCCGGTGAAGCCGATGACAAAACATCAGTGGACAGTAAAAAGAATCAACGCCGAAAAGGCAAAATGCATGAGATAAAAGAAGATCCAAAAATAACGAAAGATTTCGCCTCCAAATTGGATTTATCGTGCATGAGTAAGGGTCTTGTGAAAGCCCCAACAATAAATAATGGAAATATAGCAAAATACAACAGGTGAATTGAATGAATATTTTCTTTCTTGCCTTCTATCGTACGCATATAAAGCAGTTTAACTGCCAAGTAAAATGAAATAAAAATTATTTTTATTTTTATTATTCTCGTGATGATAAAGTTTTTTTTCTTGAATAACATTGCTTTTATGATTTCTATGTGAGAAGTTCGTGATTCAGTGAGAGAAATTGATAAAATTATATCAACATGTCCCTAGCGAGACTAACTAGCAAATTGCTAGTCTTTCTATTTTACTACTTGCAATTTACTAGTAATTATTAAAACAACTTACTATTAGAAAGTTACACTCGCTATTTACTACCAAATTACTAGCAAATTACCATGTAATATGTTTGATCAAATCTTCTTAAGTTCATATCCTACGAAAATTCACCAAAAAAAGAATTTTTTGCGTCAAAAAAATTTTGTTCTAAATTTGGCATTTGCCATATACTTCACAAGAGCGCGCAGAAATCACCTTTATAAGGTCGATCCAAATTTGTATGTGACTTCAATTAATTATTTATCTTCCTCAGGTTTGCGTGCGAGTCAGAGGCGTTCATCAGTGTTCGACTTTATTAAATTAAGTCTTTTGTTTTTTATCATAGTGTTAGTGTACTTTAATTAACTTAAACTAAGTACACACTAATACTTTTACAATAATTTACACAAAAAAAATCAAAAGAACACGTGGAAATCAACGGTTATATTCATTTAAATTTTTTACAAATTTGCTAGTAAATTACTAGTTAAATTGTAAGCGAATTGACTAGTCAATGAGCAAGTGAAAATGCGGGTCTTTGGCGATGATTTGAACTTGGATTTTGACTAGTAAATAGCAAGTAGCAAATGGAAAGTTATCAAGTGAATTACTAGGAAATTACTAGTAAATTTCTGCTAGGGTGTGTGTGGTATTGCCATTTAAAAGAATAAAAACTTTATCACCGTACGCACATATTGTTATAGAGTTCCACATTAAAAACTGAAGGTTCAAAAAAAAAAATTAAGATTAAAAGACGATTATAAACTATTTTAGAATGAGAAGATTAGAAATTTGGATTGGTATGGTTTTACAAATGTAAAAAAAAGAACAAAATAGAATAGTTTAAAAAATAGATTTTAGTAATCAGTTACTTATTTTTGACTATAATCTTATGCAGCAGAGATTTTCAAAACTAAAGAAATCAAACACAAAAACCTCTAAAGTAAAAAGCAATAACAAAAGAATTTTTATTGAATATATCTATTTTCAAAGAATAAATTCTTCTATTGTGCTTTTTTTATATTCTCTCATTTATAGACGCCGGAAGGGAGAAAAAATATTTCTTGTAGCATTTTATGAATGCGATGAAGATTATGAACTGGAAAATGTAGAGCAAGATCGACTATTCTGCAGTCAAGAATCGTGGGTGGGAGATATGCCTAGATGTATGGCGATAAACGATGAAGGCGACGACGATGATGAAGAGAATGGAGAAGAAGGAGAAGGTAAGTCAAAGAAAGTGAGCAAGTGATGCATATCATAATTTAGGTCAAAACTTCAACAATAGATTAGACTGATTGAGGTATGATTGAAATACACAAATTAATTGGGCTTGCCTAGATATTCTCAAAATTCAAAATTTCACATTTAAGATGCATGTTGAACATGTCATTCATGTCTCATAAACCTCAATAATTTCATGCATGGTTAAAAGACATTTCTTGATAAAGTAATCTGATTATTACAATGGAATTTAGAGAATTTTGGGATGTGAGATTATCAAAAAACGACAAATTAAATTTCTTACGTTGTTAGACATTCTTCTCATACTTTTATTATCACTTCTGTTTGCTATGCTATGGAAGTAAATGTTTCTCACAATGTAAAATTCCGCCATCTACTCAGCTGTTTCAACTTATTTTAAATTTTATGACTCTAAAGATTTTTTTTATCGTCGTCATCATTATCTTCCGATAATACACAAGAACTCTTTTGAACAGCTGCTGTGCTCTATTTAGAGTTAAAAATGATCACATCTTATCTCTTAAAATATTTTCCGGAAATATATATATATATACAACGTAAAATATGTATCACATACACAATTTTCAATCTCGTCGTATTCAATTGAAGTCAATTTATTTGTGAAACTCATACTTGAAATGTCTCAATGTCTTGCTTATTGCACGTTGAAGATATCCTCCTCAATATTCATCTTCAATTTTATTTTATTTCTATGTTGTACTTTGAGAAACTGCTAAACTATTGCAAAATAAGTGAAAATTCGAGCAAAAAAAAATGAATGAGCAATTTTAGATTGCAGAGCTTGGAAAAATTCTTATTTTTTGTGAAAAATAGGATTAGATACTTGAAACGTAATATTGATGGGTATTATAAAGAAAAGTATCACAAAATTATATAAAATTTTAGATTGCATTGATTCATCTAAGAAGATACTCAGTTTTTTCCAGAGATCGAAGCCGATTTTTTCGGCTTAACTCAATTTTTGATTTTTTTGATAGAAAAAAGCCATTTGACACCCATTTCAAGTATTTAAATTGAACTTTACATGCTTTACTATGGTTCTGTGTAATATTTTGTCAGCATGTAGCTATAGGGAGCTCAGAATTTCAATTTAGCCGATTTTAAGCCGAAATTTAAGCCGATCGGCTTATCATCGACTAAATTGAAATTCTGAGCTTACTATAGCTACATGCTGACAAAATATTACACAGAATCATAGTAAAGCATGTAAAGTTCAATTTAAATACTTGAAATGGGTGTCAAATGGCTTTTTTCTATCAAAAAAATCAAAAATTGAGTTAAGCCGAAAAAATCGGCTTCGATCTCTGGTTTTTTCTTTGCACGAGGCATATTCTGAATGTCTTCTGATGTTCATTACAAGATCATAACACTTTCTTTTTTCAGAAAAAGAACAAACTAAATCTATTAAAATATCATCGCAACCCAAAACTGTCCAACTTTTTTTTTTATCTCAACACTATTTTATGTAACTATCTTTCCAGAAATATCAGATTGTCATAAATTGCTTTACATTTCTAGCAAATAAATGTAGCATAAGTACTTTGTAATAGAAAATAGAAAAACTTTTTGCTGAAAATTTATTTTTTGTAACCATTCAGACAGTGAGAAGGAATGAAAAGTTTCTTCCTCAATCTTTTTAAAGCACCAGGAAAAAAAAAACCAAGGAAAGTTGAGCAGAAAAAATGGAAGATTTTTTTTATTTCTAAGTGGCATGTGAAGAAAATTGGATTCACATTGAAATCTTGATTTATTGCATCAAATTTAGAATGTTTGAAAAAACAATGTTAAGGAGCTGGAAAAATAAGAAGAAAGTTTATCATCCAATAACGAAAAATTGATTGTTTTGTGAATGAAAAAAGTTATTTTTGGCTTCAAATTTATTCGACTTTTAAGCAGCTTATAGTTTGCTGAAACCCTCAAGAGTCTTATATTGTTTACTTTTGCGCATCCAGATATTTTTCCCCTACTTCTATTATTTCTCATTATTTGAAAAAACATTCTGCCTCATATTTCTAAGCTTCATCGTTTTCCTATATTGTATCGCAATATGAAACTCGGATGAAGCGTTAACTTTATTTTAATAAAATTGAATCGGAGGAAAATTATTCAAGATTTTCACTTTACATAAAACTTAACTTTACTTCTTGTTGTGCTCAAAAAAAGAGTAAAAAAAGTTTTCATATTTTGTTTGGCATAAAATTGTTTCATGAAGACAAGATTGATTTCATGTCCGATAAGGAAGTAGTGAAAGGAAAAGTACGACATCTTAAATATCTAAAAGATTCAATTGGATAAGCTCCGTTCAGAACAAATAAGTGCACTAAAATTCTAAAGGAACATCAAATGCTTTCAGTTATCATCACTTGTAGATGCTAGATGCTTTTAAAGTTCTATATTTTTATTCCCAATTATCAGAGATCGAAGCCGTTTTTTTCGGCTTAACTCAACTTTTGATTTTTTTGATAGAAAAAAGCCATTTAACACCCATTTCAAGTATTTATATTGACCTTTACATGCTTTACTATGATTTTGTGTAATATTTTGTCAGCATGTAGCTATAGTATGCTCAGGATTTCAAGTTAAACGATGTTAAGACGAAATTTAAGCCGATCGGCTTAAAATCGGCTAAATTGAAATTCTGAGATCACTATAGCTACATGCTGACAAAATATTACACAGAATCATAGTATAGCATTTAAAGTTCAATTTAAATAGTTGAAATGGCTTTTTTCTATCAAAAAAATCAAAAATTGAGTTAAGCCGAAAAAATCGGCTTCGATCTCTGCCAATTATACTATGTTAATTAATATTCATCTTCTTTTTTTTGTAAAGTTTGAAACAAACAGAATTTTTATTCGTCATATTTGATAATTAATATGAATCGACAAATATCAAGTTTCAACTCCTTCAGATAAAAATTTATCGTCTCAGTTTACCGTAGTTATTTTTGTTTTATAAAAAAGCCATGTTATTATAGAAATTGAATATTAGAAAGTGAGTTTTAAAAGCAAAGTTCTTTATTTCGAAGTTTGATGTTAAAAAGATATTTGATAACTTTGCAAGAACAATAAAAAAGTGTATTTTTGTTCAAACAAAAGTTTAATTAACCGTTGAAATAAGAAGATTTTGAAACAACAAAAGCTTTTTACAAAAATTAAATTTTAACTATTTTTCAAACAGTCATTAAACAATTCAGAATCATTGAATGTTTGAACATCAATTGTAGAACCAGACGAAAGCGGGAACGGCACCAAATCACCGCTACTTCTCTTCATTTCATGAGATGAATTCTGATTTATCTTCATGAACTTTTCTTTTAAAAACACAACATCACGTAACACAACTATCTTCACATATGCTTTCGACCATCCGTCATATCCCACGAATGCCAGATTTTCAGCCTCTAATGAGGAATCATCACATAAGCGCCAACACCGAATTCTTTCAAGTTTGAAAAATTTGGCTTCTTGTCAAAAAACTTTTCATAAGGAGTTTTAACACTATCCTTGCTGAGAACACGATTCAGAGTGTAATTGGCATTCATTACAGCTTCATCCCAGTACTCTCGTGACATCCCTGACTCAGTAAGCATCGTGCTACATGCCTCAACTAAAGTCCTATTCTTTCTCTCGGAAATACCGTTTTGCTCTGGTGAGTAAGCCATAGTATATTGAAATCGAATTCCCTTTTAACATAAATACTTCTGAACCTCCTCACTTAAATATTCTGTCCCTCGATCCGTACGGAACATTTTAACTTTTCGACCGAACGTATTTTTCAACAGTTCAAAATACTCTATGACTTTAGACTGTACTTCGCTCTTTGCCTTCAAAAGATATACTGCCGTACATTTCGAATAAACATCCGTGAATGAAGCAAAATATTGAAATCCTCCAACTGAGGTGGTTGAAAAAAAAACACGTGTTCTAGGTTGAGTGAAAAAAAAATTTTATGTTCTTCAAAAAACTCGATTTTTCTAGAAATTTTTCACAGGGAGGTACAGGGAGTTCAATATCACGTTGGATGCATCTCAGCCTGTAGCAACTTTATTTCATACATCATTTTTATGTTCACATCTGATTTGAGGTCTAAAACATGTGTTCTAGGATGAGTGAAAAAAAAATTTTAAGCTCTTGAAAAAACTCGATTTTTCTAGAATTTTTCATAGAGGGGTACAGGGAGTTCAATATCACGGTAAATGCATCTTAGCCTGTAGCAACTTTCTTCCATACATCACTTTTATGTTCACATCTGTTTTGAGGTCTAAAACACGTGTTCTAGGTTGAGTGAAAAAAAAAACTTATGCTCTTGAAAAAACTCGATTTTTCTAGAATTTTTCATATGGAGGTACAGGGAGTTAAATATCACGTTGGATGCATCTCAGCCTGTAGCAACTTTTGTCAATACATCACTTTTATGTTCACATCTGTTTTGAGGTCTAAAACACGTGTTTTAGGATGAGTGAAAAAAAAATTTATGCTCTTGAAAAAACTCGATTTTTCTAGAATTTTTCACAGGGGGTTCAATATCACGTTGGATGCATCTCAGCCTGTAGCAACTTTCTTCCATACATCACATTTATGTTCACATCTGTTTTGAGGTCTCAAACACGTGTTCTAGGATGAGTGAAAAAAAAATGTATGCTCTTGAAAAAACTCGATTTTTGTAGAATTTTTCACAGGGGGGTACAGGGGGTTCAATATCACATTAGATGCATCTCAGCCTATAGCAACTTTCTTCGATACATCACTTTTATGTTCACATCTGTTTTGAAGTCTAAAATACGTGTTTTAGGATGAGTGAAAAAAAAATTTTAAGCTCTTGAAAAAACTCGATTTTTCTAGAATTTTTCACAGGGAGGTACAGGGAGTTAAATATCACGTTGGATGCATCTCAGCCTGTAGCAACTTTTGTCAATACATCACTTTTATGTTCACATCTGTTTTGAGGTCTAAAACAC